AAACTACAATTTTGATAGGTTATCAAGGTAATGAAAGAAAGAAATACAGATTACACATGAAAGTCCCTATGAAATGAACGTACAGCAGCATTACATTATACTATTCCATACGGAGCGGTTCCATAAAATAGAGATTAAGGTGGAAGCCTCAACTTCCTTACACTCGTTAGTAGCTATTGTTTTAAGGTCGGGTATATTGTGAATAAAGTTATAAAATTACCCCCCAAAAAATATTTTCGAATTGGTATAAGTGTTTAATTTAACAATGTATTTTTTTAAAAAACAAAATCAGAAATTTACCTACGGGGTATTGATAGTGGGCAATTTTCAACATATTCAATCTGGATTTGTGAAAAATTGAATCGGACTATTTTGTTTTCTTAAATTTTCTATTTCGGGTTTTAAAACTGACTTCTTTAAGGACACATTGCCATATATTCACAAATTCCAATGTGTGTCGTTATCTGCAACTCCGACAACTTCAGCTTTTTATGAAACAATGATTAACCGAGAAGCTGAATCCTCTGTTAATTTTGGGTCGATCCAAGTGTGGAAATAGCAGCGGTGATCCAAATAGATTGGGGTGTGGATGGAGAGCACTGCGGAAAAATTTTCGGCGAAATTAAAATGTTTAATTTTTTCTGTAAATTACTGTATGTACCTTCATTCCAGACATATTTTTGTTTCGTATAAATAGCCAAGGTTGTTTCACATGAATCCCCAATAAAATATGGCACTCTGCATTTATTCCGCGACAAGTTCTTCAAAATGTATTTGATACAAACGAAATTTGTGAAGGGCGGATAGACATTCTGGAAAGTAGCCGACACAGATAATACCAAATACGTACCTTAGTGTCAGAGCATTCAATTATTGAACACCAAAACTAAACGCCCATCCTGCCTCATATTCCCTTGACCCAAAGTCATTTTTACAAATAATTTTTGAGGATTGTTGGTACAAAATATGACCGGACTAACCCAGCAATAAGTGTCTAACAGCGAGCGCGTTTAATGACTATTAACCAGACATTATATTGTTTAACAGCCACCACTGACTCAAGTTCTATAACCTACATATATATCAAGTAAAATATACATGGATTTAAAAAAAAATGCGTAACGATACATAAAATTACAAACTCTAAACTTCTTTAATATGCAAACAGAAATAAAAAACATGAAATCTAACACGTATATATCAGTACTGTAGCATCAGATAAGTTCAATCGGAATTTATAACATTTTTTTTTCACTTGTAATATTTTTCGTCGCAAAATAGACTCGTATATTTACATATAGGTTTTTGCATATAGGTCTGTTCGGTTGTGGAAACTTGCAATAGTAAAATTAAAACAATTTATTGAACTGGTATTTTTTTAAATGATCATAAACCACATTGAAACATTGTTGCCAAAACTATGTTCTCGGTATTTATATTGACCTAAACGAATATGTATCTTTTTACAACCCCAGTCCTATATTTGCTAAACATGACCTTGTATATCGTGTAAACAGTGTGCGACGGAGAGGTTCAGAAGTATCGAGTTTATTCCGTCATTCTGGTAAGAAGTTTGCTTTAAATCATAAATGCGACAGTTAAGTACTTACTTCCTAATTTTGCAGGTCAGCAGTTACCGTAAAGCAGACAAAATTCAAGTTTGAGAACCAATTGGTTGTTAGGTGTCATATATATATATATATATATATATATATATATATATATATATATATATATATATATATATATATATATATATATATAACATTTATCTGTTTGAGCTAAAAATAAAATCGCATGGTACACTCTTGAAATGTTGTTGGCCATTTTCCTTCGCATGTTAGATAAATATGGATGGGATTTACCGCCATTATTCTATGCGTATGTGTCCTAATCTTCCTTGATGTATTATTGTAAATGGCTGCTTGCAAGTGCTACTTTCATAAGTTGATCCATGTATAATGTAGTCTTCACTGATGCAAATTGTACATGGCAACTTACAAGTACTACTTTCTTTCTGCATTATTGTAAATGGCTGCATGCAAGTGCTACATTCATAATTCTACTCTGATATTCTTGATTGATGCAAGCTCGTGTATAAAGACCTCGGATGGGCACGCTCGACAGCTCTCACTTTAGAAGGGAGGTAACTCAAAGTGAGGCGTATTCTCAGATGTAAATACGATCTTAACATCACTCGGTCACTTCCATCTAGTGGAGAGCACACCACATATAGGAATCAGGAAACAGTTTTCATGCACAAATTTAATTCCGTATTCACTGGCTTAGTATTTAAAATGAAATCATACAAGAAAAAGCAAAAACAAAATACACAAGTGAGGTCAAAATGGTCCATGTTTTTGATAGCTATATTAAAACAACGCAAAAATAAATGTGTTCACTTGACCAGAGAAGTCAGTGGCAGTTCGTAGTAAAACAAGTTTATGCACCCGAACCCAAAATTATTCCTGCTTGTTTTTTACGTCTGAAAGTCACATTTGACACCAATGTTGCTCACTGTGCAATCACAAGACCTTCTCCTAGGTGATAATTCTACAGAACATTGTGTGCAAAACGTGTCGATGCAATTTTAAATAGTTGTCATACAAGCCGTTTCCGACATATTCTACTTGCTCTCTACACAGGTGTTCACAGCTGTTGGGAGGCTAGCTCTTCTTCCTAGCCGACCTTTGGTATTTCACTATTTATATACTGCAGAGTAACGATGGGAGGTGTTCATTTTAAGAATAACACAAGCCCGAAAGACTTAGTTAACAAATGTATCCATATTTTATTAGTAGACAATAATAGCTGATAAAGTCACACCATAGCCATCAGTTAAGAAATTGATAGAGGCCGATTTACGAAACTATCCCCTCCACCATATTACAACAGTAATCTGTTCTTCTCTCTAAGAACCGGAAGTTTGTCCGCTAAAGACTAACTAGTTCAAAAAACATCATTGCGATTACTTAAGAACCTGTTTCAGAGTCTAAGGAGTAGAAATTTAACAAAGACGAGGATTTTCCGAATATAGTATGATTCAATTTCGCTAGTTATGGATTCAATTGGAACACTCTCTTCAAGTTGAGAAAGAAACTTCGGATATAATTCATCGATATTGAGAACTATTTTCTGAATTACTTTCTTTCATATGGAACAATATGGCTGCGTAAGGAGACCAAGTCACATTCTGAACAATGGCGGCCTTTGCTGTTAAATATGTGTTGCAATACAAGAGAATGGAGTCGCCAAACACTTCAAACTGATATTCTTATTCTACTGAAGTAATGACTTTAATAATGTAATATTTCTGTCAATCCCGGTTATATTTCATTTACTGTGGGGAAAATATGTCATCAATGGCTAATGTGCATGCATGCAAAGTAAGATACTAATATTTTACCTCGCATGCTGCATATTGTAACATGCGTGTAATAAAGAATTACGTCATTTGTCACTGTCGTTATCATTGCCATATTCCTTGAAACACTTCTGAGGTTATAACAAGATCTGACGGAAATGGACGAGCAATGTTCAGCTAGGTGATGGACAGTTGACTCACTTTGTTCTGTAATGAGAATCTGGGACATATTTTGACTTTCACCCACTTCCTGAACTAGCAACTTGATGGGAAGAGTTCGTCAGGAAATTATAGGATTGTTATATTGGTCATGTTGGATATAGGTGCTTATATGGTAATAAAGCGTACAATAATGGAATAAAACAATGTCGCGACAGGAAACGACCCAAACACATACATGTTGCTCTTGAATCTATGGATTCGTTTTGGATATATTATGTTTGTTTTAATAATTGCTTTGTTAATAAATGGGAGGTTTTTTTTTAAAGGATATTATTTGTGTTTTTTGGATTTGTACCTAATTTTTCTTATTGATGTAAGTAAGTAAGTAAAGAAGCATTCTTAATAATTGATCGACTGTTTGCAGAAAAATAGTATAATTTCTCAAATTGGATGGTTAAATGTAAATGTAGAGTCACGTCTTTCCAGTGGCGTAGCTAGGATATTTGGGTCATTATAAGGGACCCTTTGCAAAGCTTGCCGATGTGTCCCTACCTAAGATATAGAGTAAAAAGATAAGCCACGGTCCCCTATGCTTGGCATACTTTTGCTTTAGGCTAGCTCATCCTATCCCTTGCGTCTTTCTGTTATATAATGCATCGCATGTTACAAACATTGTTGTCACTATTTTCATATTCGCAGAGAGAGAGAGAGAGAGAGAGAGAGAGAGAGAGAGAGAGAGAGAGAGAGAGAGAGAGAGAGAGAGAGAGAGAGAGAGAGATTTGGATTTTTAATGTAGCTTTATTAGCTTTTCAGTCATATCGCTACGATGTCTACATTTTGGTAGTTTATGGTGATGTCTAGTATTTATAGAACTTTGTTATGACTCTGTCAGGGTTCGAACCGGCGACCTCCCGCATCTGAGTCAGACGCTCTAACATCTTAGAATACCTGAGCCGTCATCTCACAGATTGTGATTTTCAAATGGACATGATAGGTTATAAAAAAAGAGGTTATTGTATGAAAAGGTACCAAACGCAGTTGTATTTTCTGATTATTAAATGCATGTCTCTCTGTTTTTGTCGAAAGGTGTTTTAGTCGGTTATTACAGAGATGATGCAGGAGTTAGGTTTATGCGATAATGAAATGTGTTTATAGTTTATCTCCAGTGTGATTGAATGGTTTAATTTTTATCTCTCTCAAGCCCACATTTAGTGTCATTGCCTTGGCGTAAGAACGTATGCCTGTATATAATCACCGGCTAAAGGGGCGGAGCGTATTCCGACTTAAAAAGTTCGGAAGTTCGAGTATAGATATTCGGCTCCGCCTTCTGAGTTATTCTGAATTAAGCGATTTAAAACGGTCTCATAATAAAACAAAATTTCAGTTCTCCATGATACAAATGAAAAAAAAAATATAGATCTGAAGTTTATAAATGCGTACATAAGTATTCATGTATTACTAGTATCTGACAGCCGCTCCGGTGGCCTAGTGGTTAAAGCGTCCGCCTGGGATGCGAGAGGTCGTGGATTCAATCCCCGGTTGATTCATACCAAAGACTTACAAAAATGGTACTAGCATCTGCCTCGTTTGACGCTCAGCATTAAGAGGTTAGTGTTAGGACTGACTGATCGGCCTGGTGTCTGGATAATGTGACTGAGTGGGACATCATGATCCATGTCTGCGGCATGATGCCCCAGTTCTAGACATCACTATAAACTGCCACGTCGGAGACATCGTAGCGATATGATTGAGAATTGTTTAATTTTACGTTAAAAATCATAACCACATCACATCTAGTATCTGTCACCTTTTATTTAGTTGTTATTTTACAGTGGTTGCCTTTCATTAGTTCCTCTCAAAACTGCGCAGTCTTCGTCCATGCACATCACATAACAATTGTGGGTTGTGGTGGTTCTTTTTTTCTGCTTTTTTTATGTTTAAAGGCACTTTTAACAAACTACCGGCTCTGCCAAAGTAGCTACCATGAACAAGGCAACTTCCCTGTCTCAGCTGTCTACGTTTTGTAGCTTTGAAATAGCTGCTGGTAAGAGTGGTGGTTGTTGTTCAATTACACACACACACACACACACACACACACACACACACACACGCGCGCGCGCGTTTTCTCTTTTTTTTATTGCGTTCTCTCACATATATGAAACTTTATTCTCCAAGGCTTGCCAAAGCTAAAACTCACAAATCAAGATTCATATAATTTGCATCAAGTTAGTATCCATGTACGATACATTTGTGTTCTCGGAAATAGATCATATCCGTGTCTCTCTGATCCATTGAATTCCTTTCTCTCGAGTGATTGTATATATATATATAGATATATATATATATATATATATATATATATATATATATATATATATATATATATATATATATATATATATATATATATATACTTCATGTACTTTGTCCGTCCTCGTTATCAACAGAGATCTTGTAATAGCTTTAGATTAGTATTGATATTGCTATCGTCATATTCCCATGTATAAAGACTGCTGCAGAAACCAGTATTTATAAATAACTGTTATATGACACGACAGCCGTCACAAAAGTCGTGGCCATATTGTGCGTCATGTGACACTCAGTCCTTGTGACAAAATAGGTTTTAACAGGACACGTCAATAGATGAAATATAAATGTTGGACGCTGACAAGTTTGGAAGTGTGATCATGTGATATGGTAAGTTGATAGTCGATTTGAGAAAAACGTGTGACTACTGCAAAATTAAGTGGGGTTTTTCTATTTTCTAAATTGTACGAAGAAACGGTGTTTACATGCTCGTATTTCTCATCATGAAGTAATATCTACTGAAATTTGTCTGTTACGGTTTAGGAGAGGGAGTGAACACAATCCGTTTGTCCTATGCGTATCACGTGTCAGATAATTGAACATAAGGTCAGTTGCCATGGAAACGATCATCAGTAGCGTTTTATGTCGAAATGTTGATTGTGGTCATCCCGAGAAGACGAAAAATGTTTTTCTTTTGAATGAAATGCTTTATTTATGTGACGGTTTTGATGAGAATAAAACGGGGACAGACTTAGTGTAGGTGGTAGTTATTCCCGGCGCCCGATAGCAGTGTTCTTTAGTGGCGCTTCTACTTTTCTACAGTAAACAGTGTATATGTCAATTATGAACCGCCCTCTTTCAACTGTACCCAAGAGCAGTTTGGCCACACACGTCAACTGGGCGGTCGCCTAATGCGCCAAGGTTTAAGAAATGCCATGTTAGATTTAACTGATTTTTTTTTCTTCAAGAGGTGGATTGGGTGGGTGAGTACTAAAGTCATACTTCGACTAGGGCTCCATGAATCCTTGGAGCAGCCCTAATTGCACCCTACCCACTCTCACTCCCAAAAACTTATGTTTTCTGAAAAATTATTTCACCTTACACTAAGGTAAATGTGAAATACTATGAAAATTTCAGGTGCAAAAAAAAAAACTCCCATCGGCCTTCCCCCTTTACCTGGTTTCCGGGAGCAATTGACCCCCCCCCCAGCGCAACCACTTGATTGTTGCAAACCTTGTATCATATATATATATATATATATATATATATATATATATATATATATATATATATATATATATATATATATATATATATATATATAGAGATATAGATAGATAGATAGATAGATAGATAGATAGATAGATAGATACAAATGATACCGTAATTGTATTGTCGATCCGCAATTATAATTGTAATTAGTTATATGCAGTTTTTTTTCTTTTTTCAGTTGTCCATGGATAGTGCAACAACAGTTGTAAAAATGTAACCAAAATATATAACAGTCAGGGATAAAGTGTCACATCTTTTTTCAAAGACATCGAAGTGTAGGTAAACAGGAAAACGTACAGGGTAGAACCTTAAGATTAGTTTCTTCTCCATCTAAAAGAGATTTTCTCTTTCAGTCAGTGTCTAAAATCCTTTTATCTTGTCAGACAAAAGAAAATAAAGAACCAACTTCCTTGGAATATAGAAAATACAAAGGATAACTAATTATGTGGATTTTTTTTTTAATCTTTCGGAGCATAAATGCACACAGAGAATTTTTCTTGGAGGCTGACAAGAACTGTAAGACGAAATATAGTTGTTGATCTCATGGATTAGGCGTAATGGAGTGTACATATGGAAAAATATGTTACATGCAGACAATCCAGGTGCAATAGGGATAAGCTAATTGGTGGGTGCACTTTGTAGGTGAAACAGGTGGAAACTAATAGAAAACTTTAAAGAATACGCGTCAGGATGAAAGTCATACATTATTTACGACGGTTTGGCTTCATTGTTGGATTATATTTTTTTTTATTCTTAATATTGATGGGTACATGGACTTTCGTTTCAAGGGCCTCCTCGCAAAATCTTCTTTTAGATGCATTTAAAGGTGGAACGAGGACTACGACAGTGCCGCCTGTCAAGCAAACACAATTAATAAGAAGGGTTACAGGTTTATACAAAGGTTTCCAAAATAGAACTTTATTGAGGCATCCGGAAAATAAAACTAGTAAATTAAGACAGTTTCAAAGATCATTTGAAATTGACCAAGAACCTGTGGTGTCATGGTTGAAGCAACGGAAAGAATTTTGTGATGGAAACTTTGTTGGATATGACAGTTTGTTCGCTTTGCTTACCAATGTTATTATCACACCCGAAAAAGGAAAAGGTCGAAGAGGGGGTGAGAATATTAGAGACGTTTTGAACCAAAGTGAGGGAGACGAGTATTACCTGTTAGAACCAGGATACTTTACAATAAAGTGCCAGGATGAAGAAATCCCATATTCTTTTCAAACGAAGGATCATCTAATAAACTGGAAGGCAGCATTAAAAATCCAAAAGTTATTTAATGTTTCAGGCATGACGACGGTTAAGACTTTGACAGTCGCATTGACAAGATACGAGTATGTCAACATGTACCACACCATGACTGATTTTTACAATGCTTTCTTGATGATGTCCATTTTCAAGCAGCGTCCAGATGACGTCACCATACTGTGGATAGACGGTCATCCATACGGCACGCTTGACGTCGCATGGAAGACTTTATTTGGTCATGTCATGAGAGCTGGGGAATTGGGTGAACCAACTTTGTTTCATGGTATGGTTTGGAACATTCTTGGTTATTTTAGTCCGTTGAATGATCATGACAGCCCGCACGTGCCTTACCTAGAAGAATTCAGGGAATTTTTCCTCGGACGACACCAAGTGAATTTTCAGAGAACTCTAAATTGCTCAAGACTTACTATCCGTTTCATTTGGAGGCGAGATTACGTTGCACATCCAAGAAATCCATCTGGTCACGTGGTGCGAAAAATAAAAAACGAGGATGAATTGATATCCATCATGCAAAAATCCTTTCCAAACTTTGAAGTTATAGGATCTCAAATAGACCTGTTAGACTTGACGAAACAACTGCAGTGGATCTCAGACACTGATATTTTAGTTGGTATGCATGGGGCGGGGCTATCTCACACATTGTTTCTTCAGAAATACGCTGCTTTGATCGAGCTTTATCCGACATATTGGCCTACCGCCAACAAACATTTTAGAGCAATGGCACAATGGCGGAACATTCACTACCAATTGTGGCAAAATGCTGACCAAGCGAATGAGCACGCAAATCACTACACTTATATTCCGCCAGATGTCGTTTTAAAAATGGTTCATGAGATGCAGCATAAATTGTGTCATGGACACTGACCGGAACATTATTACCGGAAGTTACACATCTAACAGGAAGTTGTCTTAAAGGTGAAAGAACTTAAATCTATTAAATTGCAATGTTCGCTTTGTTTATCGATATCTTTATTTGAGACGCAAGTTTTCCTTTCAAAAAATTATGAAACTTTGGTATTTATGACAAATGTAAGTTTCGCTGCTTACAAATCACATTTCTGGTTGGTTCTATTCTCAGAAGGTCCTCAAGGTAGATAAATTAGCTCTGACTGTTTGACACTGGTGACCCGTCAATAGGATGAACTCGATGAGCAAAGTTCTTAATTTAACATGAGTCAGGACTCTAATAGGTGTTTTGGAAATTAATGAAATGTCACAAATCAAAGTTGGCCAAGATTTTCTTAACATGTAGCATAATGTCAAATTTAGTTTTAATCGATGAAGTCGTTCGAAAGTGATGTGTGTAAAGATCTGTGCCCCTAAGGTAGGTGTGGCAAGATTAAAAAATAGTCTTCCATTTAGAAGGTGGGGGAGTAGGGTTAAATTAACATAAAAAGGGAACCAGTTTAACTGTATTACAGACTGCACACACAGTGTCCGAGAGGATCAGCAACAGAGGAGGCGTAAAAAAAGTTATAACGGTATGCACCTCTCACAAATTCCCCAAAGTAATATTCAGTAAAATAAATGCTCCTTATAATTAACCTAAAGTTCTAAGAGGTTTAGACATAAAATTGTTGCCGTATATATATATATATATATATATATATATATATATATATATATATATATATATATATATATATATATATATATATATATATATATATATGAGAGAGAGAGAGGGAGGGTTGTATCATGAAACTTACCCGGTAGATTGCTATTTTAAGGTACATAAACAAATGATCCATTAAAAAAACATTCGAATATTTGTTTAAATCTGGCATTCAGAGTAATGATTTTTGCACATGTGTGAGATTTCAATTTAAGAAAGGTGATAATGTTTATCAAAGTTCGTGCACGTAAGAAATGTTATCATATAATCGGCGTCCTGTGGATCATGTAGGTACAGTCAAATGAAACTTGCGCTCGAGGGAGATACATATAATGATGGCGTTGGAGAATAAGTTTTAATAATAATTAATATTTTCATGTTAATATTTTAAAATTTTACTATATTCAGTTTAAGATGATTATTTAAAACGCGAAAATATTTACAAGATAACTCCAAGTTTTATTGCACCAAGTTTTGATACATTTTCTCTTTGTTCGAATTCTTTGAGGATCAAATCAGATCGCAGATTGAAGACAAAAAACGAGACGAATGAACACGAAATGGAAGTCAGGCTTTTGAAACCAGTTTCGTTACATTCAACAGTATTACAGGTCATTACTTTAATCGGAGTCCTTTTCAGTGAAATAACTTTTCGAATATCTTCCAGATTTAAATGTTTCTGCATATGTCATATCATTTGAGCAGGGTCGACAAGGGGAAGGGGCAAATGGGACAAGGGGATCCCGTGCCGAACATTTTTTAATTTTGTAAAAGAAAATTTTTGTTTGAACAAGAACTAGGAAAGGCCCGGGTGTTTCTTACCCCAAGGTCCGTGACCGCCCTCTATGGCCCTGCATTTGAGCTGCAGTTATTTCTTGGAAAATTTTGAAAGAGTCCAAGAACAACATATTTGATTATTTCAAGGAAACACTCCGCCAGCCAGAAATTTGTATCACGTGTCATGAGTTTCCAAGTGACCATGATTTTTTAGTATCTTCTAAATATTTGGCATTTGACTGTGCAGGGCTGTTTTCAAGTCCTTTTTGCTTTCTGCTGTCATGTCTACAATTCATGGATGCTATTCGCAATGAACTATCACTCTAAGAGACATTAAAGCAAAAATTTAAAGGAACTTAATGATGTAATCAGTTGTTATACTGGCAATAACCGCTGATAAATAAAGCATGTTAAATGCGCACAATATAATTCGTTCAGAACGGGAAAAATATCATTTGCAAGGTTTTCATGCCACATGTTGCAAAAGTGTATCTCCCTCAAGTAATATAACGTTAACGATAATTAGAATTTATTAAATGTCAAAGACGTTTAACTAAAATTAACTCTCTTTTTTTGCATTATACACGTTGATGTTAATGCTTAGAGATTCATGGCACACAGAGCTGTATATTTCTTGATATTCTTATACTGGCGTTTTATCGAAAGAATAGTTCGACTAGAATCAACCTAATTTCAACGTGTTTATTTACTCTTTGTATTTGTGCGTATTGAACGCATATAAGGACTTTTGTTATGTCTTAGGTTATCGCATACATTCCATATATATTTTTGTATAACCTGTTGTCTTAAATGGCGAAAATGCAGCAGTTTGTTTTCTTTCTGCATTGTCTCATAGAATGCTCGTTTTTAAGTTGTTTGGTCCAAAATCCATTTCGCATAAAACTATAAGTGTGAATTATAATGGCTGCCAATGAGACCATTTTTGGATGACACGTTCGAGATTCTGTTGAGGTTTTATTATTTAAAATCTGTGTTCTTAGGAACCTAGCAGAAATCCATTTAATGAATTTTATTTTTAAAAGGCAATTTCGTTATTCTATTGTTCTCAGTAGTAATTTAAAGCCTTTAGTTAACAGTGAAATGTGTTAACCTCTTTCAGAGATCAGTGCGATAGTTGTTTGATTTGTAAGCGTTTTAGCGTCATTCCTCAGTTTTGAAAATGGTTTTATTTTTGGCTGTTTCGGTTCATGTCCACGATTGAGCAATGCACATAAATCCTGTGCGGACAAAAATGTATTGCCGGCATTTGTTTGTTTGTTTTTTCATGCCGGGTGCTTTCAAGGGCCTACCTCCATTTTAAAAAAAAATGATCAAAAGGTTTCGTCCTTTTAGATTCACCACCCAAGCTGAGTCTTTTGACATTTTTAAATCTCCCCAAATATTCCTTGACGCCAGAGCTTTAGAGCAAATTTGGCTTACGTCATATCGTGAACTGTGTGGGTCATGCTTACTCTTTACTGAACATTACTGGTCTAGAAACAAAACAATTTCCAAGACGGAGGAACTCGATCTGTCAAGTTGTCATTGTTAATTGCTGTACATTCCGCTACTTTTTGTGTTCAGTTGTAAACTTACGGGAGAATATCTGTCCCGTCATTTGTTTCAGGGTTAGCTATATTTTTATATAAGTTTTATATATAACTATTTTGATGCACATGTGTACAGTTCAGGTGTAGATAACATTTGACAATTCTTTGTAACGCTTCTTATGAAGAAGGATGCGTGTTTTCCTTTTTGTTAATTTTCTTTCGATGCTATAAAACAAGCCAAAAACACAATGTGTTTAGCTTTAGAAAGGTTTTTTGTTGTATTGTTATAATTTATAACCTACCTCCACTATTCACAAATGCAAGGTGAAACGAGCAATAGTGCTTACGGTTACCTTGATTCGTTCAAATTCTAAACACAGATATCTTCATCGTGATAATTCTCAAGGTCGCAGAAACGCTTTGTTTTGAACAATATTTCTTTCACGTAAATGTTCAAGCACCGTTTCAAAACAAAGAATTAATGGGCCAGAATCGTTTGAACAACTACAGGTTGAGCAAATTTTCTGTTCACAGCGCCAAACTCATCCTCTTACAATATTTTCTTCTTTCAGTTCTCCACTCAACTGTTTTTCACACACTCGCATTCCTTTTTGTTATATAAACAATTCATTTCAATAAAACTAGTATCCGATACGAATGTACAAGAATCATCTCAGCTTGATGGAAAAGACTCGTGTAAATTATTGCGATTACATACAAGACTCGTATAAATTTTTGCGATTACGTACAAGACTCGTATAAATTATTGCGATTACATACAAGACTCGTATAAATTATTGCAATTACGTACAAGACTCGTATAAATTATTGCAATTACATACAAGACTCGTATAAATTACTTTGTTTATTTTTATTATAATTACCATGTTTTGGAAGTTTTTGTAATAGTGTGTGTGTGCGTGTGTGTGATTTGGATATTTAACGTAGCTTAAGATTCAATCATATCGCTACGATGTCTGCAGTGTTACGGTGTATAGTGCTGTCTAGCACTGGGTCATTATACTGCAGAAATGCAGCATGATGTACCACCCAGTCACATTATCCTGATACCAGACCGACCAGTCTTATTGTAATAGTAATTATTTAATTAATAAAGGACGTTCATGTAACATTTCACGTGACTGTCCGTAAATCTTTACGTTTTCTTATGTTATTTGCACAACTAATTACTGTCGCACTGCTCCGGTGGCATAGTGGTTAGAGCGTCCGCCTCCGATGCGGGAGGTCGTGGATTCAAACCCGGGCCGAATCATACCAATGACTTCCAAAAATGGTACAAGCAGGTGTCTTGCGAAGCGCTCAGCATTAAGAGGTAAGTGTTAGGACTGGTTAACCTGGTGTTAGGATAATGCCAGTGGGTGGGACGTGATATTATGTCTGCGGCATGATTCCCCAGTGCTAGACATCACTATAAAATGCCACACTGCAGATACCGTAGCGACATGACTGAAAAATTGTTATAGCTACGTTGAAAATCCAATTCGCACACACTAATTAATGTAATGTTTCGAATGTAACATCTGTCTGATGGAATAGCCCTGTATATTGGTTTATATTGGTTTTAATGTATAGATTTTGAATTTATATGAGGTATTTTATGTTTTGTACGAATAATTAATACGTTTAAACGGTGTTAAAGTGTTTGTTCCAAACATGTTGAGACCTTAAATATCATGCTGATTGCACGCCGTCTTTGTTTGCGATATTATTGATATCGTGTCTCTTACCTTCATGAATACTTTAGAATGAAAACAGAAAACAGATGTTCCGATCAATGGGAAAATATGTTTAATAATTCATATTATTCAAGTCCTACCGCTGAAAGCCTTTACACGTGCAGAGATGTGGATGTGCGTGTATGTATGTATGTATGTATGTATGTATGTATGTATGTATGTATGTATGTATGTATGTATGTATGTATGTATGTATGTATGTGTGTACGATTTATTGTTAGGAGGCACTGGTCCGTTTACCTCGGAAATTTTCTCTCCAGAATTAAAAGTTAATTAAACATCCAAAAACACGAACAGTGATAACATATTTTAAAGGATATAATTTATGATTCACTTTAAATTCATACATTATTTAGGGGTGGGGGACTTGATTACATATACTCTTATCTATCTATCTATCTATCTATCTATCTATCTATCTATCTATCTATCTATCTATCTATCTATCTATCTATCTATCTATCTATCTGTCTGTCTGTCTGTCTGTCTCTCTGTCTGATGATGATGATGATGATGATGATGATGATGATGATGATGATGATGATGATGATGATGATTCCCATTAATTCAATTTGACATGAAAAACTGAAAATTAAGTCTCATGGACACCATCCTCTCTAGACTGACAAATTTTGGCATAGTGAGATCCTGAAATATATCGGTGTGAGAAAAAATGCTATCTCCACATAAGAGATTCCACTTTTTTTATCACCACCGTGGTGATATCATTTTTGGGACTACTTTCTTTTCTCCGTTTAGGAAATACACCTGCCTTGAGTACGTTATTCAAATCTGTATTTCCATCTCTCTCTCTCTCTCTCTCTCTCTCTCTCTCTCTCTCTCTCTCTCTCTCTCTCTCTCTCTCTCTCTCTCTCTCTCTCTCTCTCTCTCTCTCTCTCTCCACAAGAATGGAGATCTTAAAATATGTCAAGATCGTGAACCCTCTAGTATACACTTGTTTAATCAACAAAAAAACCCATAAATATTCCTAAAATGGACTCCAGTGGAAAAATAATTAAAATATAAGTATTACCTTTTTTAAAATTGGTTTTCTAAACGAACCCTGAACATTATTAGTGACAAATTGCATGAACTGTTAATTGTACCTTTTTAACTCTACGAAAGATCTGCTCGATGGCCTAGTAGTTAGAGCCTCCGCCTCGGATACGAGAGGTCACAGGTTCGAACCCCGGCCGAGTCATGCCAAGAATTTCTAAAAATGTTAGTAGCAGCTGCCTCGCTTGGCGCTCACCAGTTAGATTTAGTGTTAGGACTGGTTGGCTAGGTGTCAGGATAACATGACTGGGTGGGACATGCGGCATGTTGCCCCAGTGCTAGACATCGCTATAGGTTCTCGTACTAGCGATGCGACTAAAAAAAATGTTTAAAGCTACGTCAAAAATCCAAATCGCACACTTACACTTTACGACCAACGGACAAATATTTAAGAAAACGTCTTGGTTAAATAAAATTGTCTAAGTAGCGATTTACGACTTTCAACATAATTATGATCATGTCTGAAAATTAAGAAAAAATTGAGTATTTATGAATGTTGATTGCAAACCAAAATTAAGTGACAATCGAAATTTGGGTGTAACCTATGCTATCGATGTAGACTGCCAAAGCCATAAATTCGCATTTGAATGCAGAAATTAATAAAATAAAGAAGCAAAATCAATACGAGTAAACTCAAAATCATTCAAATCTTTTGTTTAAAGATATTATGCTCAGAAATCTGTAGAATATGACAACTCCGCGATACTTATACAGCACCTCTACCGCAAAGATGTTTACTTTATTAATCCGCACAAAAATGGGTTATCGAAAATAAAGTAATGTCGTCATCTTCGTTTGAAACAGTCATTAACTGGAGCAAAACAAACAAACAAACAAACAAAAAACCCACAACAATTTGAAGCGTAATTTGTACAAGATAAATTTGTAAAGGTGCTGCCCTGAAGTTCTTGTAAATTTCGTAACTTTTTTTTTTATCGGTACGGTAATGCAGCTGTTATTCGCATTGACACTGAGTGAAGAAAAGATCCATGTAGATTCTACGGTTTTTGCCTTAAAATATATAAGAAAAGAAAATTTACGTTTTTCGGAATAAATATAAGGATATATTTCATTCGTAGAATCGTTCTATTTTCTCATACGTGGCTTTGAAATACAGTGCTTCCCACTTCAGTCTGGGAAATACCAGAAGACACTTTTCAATCACATGATCTTTTTGCAACTCATTTAATCGAGCCTTTCATTGGGCGTACTCGACATTAGGTGTACTCGACATCGGTGTACTCGACATTAGGTGTACCCAACATCTCGACCTCGTGAAATTGTAACTACCACAACGATTAGTTGGTGAGTCTCGCAAGTCAACTGGAACAAAAGGTGGAAACACTTTAGCTCGAATACGAACATTCGAAGTTTGAATACGCGATCTCGAGAGAGCTAATCCAAAAAGTCTTTAAAAATCTCATGATCACTTGTTCGAGATAACAAGAATGCGCCTTCCCGATACATAAATAATAGATCTTGAAACAGCAAAATCGTCAAGTTGGCTTTAATTTCATGATCTCTGTCTTGATCAAATTGTCTTCGCACCTCGCAAACATGAATCGCTATTTGAATACGTGATCAGGAGAAAAAAAAAAACGCGACAAAAATACTTCTCTGTTTAGCTGACTTGAAATGGCGCATTCAGACGTCAAAATCGCGCATTTACGTTTTCTTGAGTAAGTCATCATATAGTTCAAGACTTGACCAGTTAATCAAAAGTGATAAATTGAAAGTAAAATTTAAATCTAAGAAAAGGGGAGAGGAAATGAAGTAAACCATGGACCACCTCATCTTTCCCAAGACAGCCTAAGGAACATTGTCTCAGATGGACAAAAATGACATATTTCAATGTCATAGCATAAACACATACAACTTTAAACTCCACATTTGAAATAAGTGGACATGTAATCCAGTATAAGACCCAAGTCCCTGATAAGCCTCGTTAAGTGGGCATGTAATCCAGTATAAGACCCAAGTCCCTGATAAGCCTCGTTAAGTGGACATGTAATCCAGTATAAGACCCAAGTCCCTGATAAGCCTCGTTAAGCGGACATGTAATCCAGTATAAGACCCAAGTCCCTGATAAGCCTCGTTAAGTGGACATGTAATCCAGTATAAGACCCAAATCCCTGATAAGCCTCGTTAAGTGGATATATAATCCAGTATAAGACCCAAGTCCCTGATAAGCCTCGTTAAGTGGACATGTAATCCAGTATAAGACCCAAGTCGCTGATAAGCCTCGTTAAGTGGACATGTAATCCAGTATTAGACCCAAGTCGCTGATAAGCCTCGTGGCTATTTCTTTACTCGGTTAGTATATGAGGCATTGTGTAAATTAAAAGTCTATGTACTAAACTGTAATATGCTTTGTAGCTTATCTCTACCTGGCGATATTCAGGTATCTCAGGCACATAAAAGCAACAGGTAGATTTTGCTATAAGGTGTCAGGTATGCAGAGTACTGCACAATAATCTGTATATACATGTTGAGAGTTAAATTATGTGGAAGACCAATACTTTCTATTTGCCCTATTTATCAAATTTTTTAAATAAATTTTTGAATAAATATGTAACAAGTTCTCGATGATTCTTTGTTATCATTTATTAATAATTTAATATTGACTGGAGTTAATGATGACTTTCAATTCATATTTTAGAATTGGTTTCTTGTGTACTATGGCTATATAATCTGCAGCATAAAATAAATGCATGTCTCAAGTCATATTTGCTTTCTTAACTGTTACAGTTTTTAATTCCGAGAATACAGATCTAATATATACAGCACTTGTTACAAATACCATGCAATGTGAAATATAACTGTATTATCTACTATCAACATTTAGTCGTTAGTAAAATTTTGCATTTAGTATTTGAGCAAGGCAGAAGTACTGAGTTCACATTGAGAGACCCAGTGGGAAAAAAATTAAAATCTACTGATCATGTATTGCAGACAACAAATATGTGCTTTTTCGAAGCTCGAATACGCGGCGATTTATTTCTAGAACGCGAATCCAAAATGTCCTTCAAATCACACGATCGTGTATTTCAGACAACAGGAATGCATGAAGCGTGATCTTCAAACAGTAATTCATTTAGTTGGCTGTTCGAGCCTAACTCGAGAGTACATAAACCTCACATTAAATACGCGATCAGGAGAAAAATAACATTATAAATTATCTAATAGACTTCTTGAAATAGCATTTTCGAGCATCGAGATCACATATCGGTATTGTCTCGAATATGTGGTAATATGTTTCAAAAGATTCTCCCAATTCGAAAAATTTCATATTCTAACTTACGATAATTCGAACTTCAAGAACGTGAACCGTCTGACGTCAAGACCCTGTTGATTTGCCACGTTGTTCGATAACGCGAAGTGAAAGTCTCGATTTAGCGTGATAAAAATAAATTTACTACCCGAAATGTGATAAAGACTATCGCTCGATCCGCTTTCTTGGGTTTGCCTAATAGTTTAGAGATCGCAAGCCGTATCCATGATAATTAGTTTACACGCCTTTCTTAAGACTTTAACATTTTACCTTTGTTTTTTAGGTTGCAGGACTACACATTGACGACTTTTTGGAAGGGTTTATATTTCTAAAGTTAGCTCTATATTTTTAAAAACCATTTTATCTTTATATCTTCTTAGCTTTAGTTTTCGATGGCATAAATAGGATTGTAAAAAATATTATCCAACCCTATACATACATACATACATACATACATACATACATACATACATACATACATACATACATACATACATACATACATACATACATACATACATACATACATACATACACACACGCATGCATGCATGCATGCATGCATGCATGCATGCATACATACATACACACACACACATATACATACATACATACATACATACATACATACATACATACATACATACATACATACATACATACATACATACATACATACATACATACATACAGACAGACACGCGATATAGATATGTTGTGAGGACTGCTCCATTCCTAACAAGTCCAACAGATAAGACATTTACGACCTAAAACTCGTGTGCATTCATATTGTGTGTCAAAAACTTGTGTTCATTAAGTTGAATGCAGTCCACGTCGTGTCTGTAGTGATGTAAAGACTTTATCAAAACTACCAAAAATAATCGGATCTTACTTAGTTGGTTCAATGACAGTCCATAACAACTGCATTCTAATCTCAGATTAGAGTTTGTTCAGTTCCTGTTTACATCATTCGAACTTCTATTTAGCTTGGCACTGCATCGCCTCTTTTGTGCTAACGTGCTATAAAACACTTCTACACATGTACACTTCTACACATGTACACTCCTCCATAGATTGGATTTACAATGTATTCTATTTACATATCCTCTCGTTACTTTGTGATCGACCACACCTAATATGGGCAATTTGTTTTATAACCACAGGTCAAAAACAGCGATTTTTAAAGTACTAGTTGCAACCCAATACATGGTTGCAGAATGTATCACATTGATATTTATTATAATATCGTAATAAATCTGGAGTATGCGCATTTGTTTATAGTGCTTCTTTTTCAGGAAATCTTAGATTTTTGTGATTACTGTTTAATTATGGGAACTCGGTCTTGAAGAAATATTCCTCAACCCGAAATAATTGGCCAGTTACTAGAGGCAAACGTCACAGAGTGAAGTGTTAGCAAGTTTTCATGATGCCATGGTTTACTTTTGGTGAATTCAGGCCACAGCCGCATGAGTGTCCCTGTCGTTCCATAGTCCCTATTAAAATAGACTGACTCCAGGTGCAATATATTTATGGTAGAAAACTTGAAAAGTGCCCAATGGAATAACCGCGGAGGGACTGTTCCGTCGTAGGTAGGTACCGTTTATGTTGCCATGGTGGCAAATGTGATTCAAAGTTACAGGCGAAACGTGGCTTAAAACCATGATTTGACTGGCCTAAGGTGGCGTAGTAAAATAGTCCTCTGTATTAGTTGGTTGAATAGTATAGTTTTACGGCGTGAAATGCTGACGATACGTTACGTAACGTTAGTGAAGTGAAACCATGCAGATATACGATTGATAGACAACTGGAAAGTTGTGAGGTCTATGGTCCTGTATTAATTATAGTAAAATTATAGCAATGGACAGGTTTGACTT